GAACAAATATTCTTTTGAGAACAAAACCCTGCATAGCCAAAGCTCTCCTGACTAAAAGGAGAAGAATGGGGGTATTCAACTTCCAGACTTCAAACTATACTACAAAACCATAATAATAAAAACAGTATGGTACTGGAACAAAAACAGGTACACAGACCAATGGAATAAAATTGAAGGTCCAGAAATAAAACCACACATTGTGGTTTTATGACAAAGGAGCAAAGAATATACACTGGAACAAGTAAAATCTCTTCAACAGATGATGGTGGGACAATTGGACTGCCACATGCAAAAGAATGAAACTAGATTACTATATCACACCATGCCCAAAAATCAACTCAAGATAGATAAAAGGCGTGGTGTAAGAACTGAAACCATAAAATGTATAGAAGAAAATATAGGCAAAACACTCCATGACATAAGCTTCAGAAACACCTTTGAGAACTTGTCTTCACAAGCAGGGAAACAAAGGAGAAGATAAACAACTGGACTACATCAAACTAAAAAGCCACTGTACAGCAAGAGAGACAGCAGCCAAAATGTATTTGCACACCAATAAGGAACTGAAATCAAATATCTACAAAGAGCTCACATGACTCAACAAAAACAAAGCAAACAACCCAGTAAAAAAAAATGGGCAGGAAAGCTAAATAGACACTTCTCCAAAGAAGAAGTACAAGTGACCAACCAAAGGCATATGAAGAAAATATTAGTATATTTCAAAACCACAATGGGATACCACCTCACACCTGTGAGAATGGCCCATATTAAAATACCCCCAAAACTAGTGCTGGTGAGGATGTGGTAAAAAAAAAAAAAAAAGGAACCCTCTTACACTGTTGGTAGGAATGTAAACTGGTTCAGCCATTAGGGAAAGCTGTGTGATGGTTCCTCAAAACACTAAAAATTAATTTACCAAGCAACCCAGCTATTCCACTCCTAGGAATCTCCCTAAAGGCCACAGAAACACTATTTTGAAAGGAAACCTGCCCTCCATGTTTATTAAAGCACTATTTACAATAGCCAAGATATGGAAACAACCGAAATGCCCCAGAACAGATGAGTGGATCAAGAAGATGTGCTATATATACACATGAATACTAAACTACTTACTGATCAGAAGGGAAAAGATAAATACAGGTTTCATTTATATGTGAACTCTAGAAAAACCAAAGGGTTAGACAAAGACCTTGAAATATGAGGCATACAGGAGGAGAGGGAAAAGGGGGTGGGTAAAAATTGGGGGAGACGGGAAGAGCACAAGGGACTATAGTGATGGACTAGGTATGCTTTGGTGGTGGGTGAACTACAGTGACCACACCTGAGGGGAGAAATCATATATTGTCCTACAATTAACAATGATGTAAGAAAAAAGTATGACATTAAAGCATACACACACATTCAGGAAGTTTAATGAACTCCAAGTAGGAGGAATTCAAAGAGACTCATTCTGTGATGCATAATTAAACTTTCAAATGACAAAGATACATGTTTAAAAGCCGCAAGAGAAAAGTGAAACATCACATACAAATGATCCCAATAAAATTTTCTACAAATTTCTCATCAGAAATTTTGCAGGCCAGAAGACAATAGACTGATATATCCAAAGTGCTAAAAGACAAAAAAAAAAGTTTGAATAATCCTGTATCTGGTAAAACTGTCCTTCAAAAGTAAGGAAGAAATTAAGACACACTCAGATAAATAAAATCAGTGAGGGAGTTTGTGATCACTAGACCTTGCTCAATACTGCAAAGTGATATGAAAAAAGACTAGACATTAACTCAAAGCCATGTGGAGAAATAAAGATCTCAAAAAAGATAAATAGGCAATTATAAAAACTATGGTTTGTAACAATTGTTTGTAACTGTACCTTTTTATTTTCTACAACATTAAAAAAATACTCTAAAGACTATTCTTACTGTAGTAATATTGTATTGTTATAACTTTGGTTTGTAATTACAGACCTCATCTCTAGTATTATTACTGTATGTTTTGGGGCACGTGAAGCACACAGTATGTAATGATATAATTTTGTATCGTGAGGAGTATCAGGTTTACATGATTAAAAATGTAAATAATATAAAGGTCTATTACACAAAAATAAAATTAACTAACAAAACGAAAACCTCTCGGCCACCTGATAAATAGCACCTATTAAAAACCTGAAGTTAATATCTATTTAATGGTGAAATATTTTTCTCCTAAAGTTGAGAATAAAGGCAAGGATGTCACCATTTCTCTTCAACATTGTACAGAAGGCTTTAGCTGGTACATAAGGCAAGAAAAGATATTTAAAACATACATATTAGAAAGGAAGAAATAAGGCTTTCTTTATTCATAAATAACCTGATTGTCTCTGTAGAAAAATTAAAGATAAAAGGACCACTAGAACAAATAAGTGAATTTCTAAGTTTGCAGGATATAGGGTTAATGTAAGAAATCAATTGTATTTCTATATACTAACAAGAAATTATCACAAATTAAAAAAGCAATACCACTTACAATAACATAAAACATATGGACTAAATAGAATCAATTTTGCAAAAATATATGCACTACAAGTTAAAAAATAGCACTGAGAAAATTGCCACTGAAGACTAAAATAAATGTTCTTAGATTGGACAATTCAAAATTGTTAGGATATTGGTTCTTCTCAAATCAATCTACCCATACAGTTCAATCAAAAGGTCAAAGTCCCGGACCTCCCCTGTGGCGCAGCGGTTGAGCGCTGGGTTGCGAAGCTGCCCGCAGCCTCTGCGGCGCCGGTTCAATCCCCAGCTGCTCCCTGGCCACCAGAGGAGGGTCCCACATGGCGTGCAGACCTCTCCTGCCGCCCGCTGCTCCCCTCAGCAGTATACTTCGGTCCTTCTGTCTGCTCTGCTCCCCACTCTGGCTCTGGTGAATTCTCTCACCCTCCCGCGCTTCTGACTGTACACAGTGCTTGTATAAACAAAACAAACAAATAAATAAAACATGACTCTATAAAACTAAAAAAAAGTCAAAGTTCCACAAGTTTGGTTTTGTTTTAGAAATGGACACACTGATTCTAACTTTCATATGTAAATATTAAGAATCTTAGCCAAAATAAATGAAAAGTAAGAAAAGGACGGAGGCCATGTACGATCTGATTTCAAGACTCAAAAGGCATAACAGGAAAGTGTGGCATTGCTGTAAAATGTATATAATAGACAATTGGAACAGAATAAAGTCCAGAATCATAACCATGTATATATAGAATCAGCTGATTTTCTACTTTGGTGGCAAAGCAATATAAGGGAGAAATGATCATCTTTTCAACAAATGTTTCTGGAACAATTGCATGTGTATGTATTTGTACTTATGATATTTCAAGAAATTCTACCCTCCTTAGTCCCCACCATATAACCATATACAAAGATTGATTCAAAAATGGATTATAAACTTGAATGTAACAACTGAAGCTGGACTGCTTGGAAGAAACAGAGAATCTTAGTGAATTAGATTTGAACAATGATTTCTTAAATTAAAAAAAACTAAGAGAGAATAATTGATGAGTTGGACTGCATTAATATAAAAATCGTTTGCTCTAAAGAAGACACTGTTAAGAAAATGAAAGGGAGAATAGAGACTGGGAGAAAATATTTGCAAATACTTACCAAAATTAGGTAAGTATACTGACAAATACTTACCTAAATTAGGGCCTGCTTGGTGGCGCAAGGGGTTCTGTCCTCAGCCACCACAGCACGAGTTCAGTTTGATTCCCTGCCCTCCAGGGAGCTGCCCACATGGTGCAGCAGACCTCTCCTGACTCGCCTGCTGCTCCTCTCAGCAGTGTATTTCAGTCAGTCTGCCTGTTCTGTTCCCTACTTTGTCTCTGGTGAATCCTCTCACCCCCCCATACCTCTGACCTGTACTCCAGTTCTTGTATGCAAAAATAAATAAATCTTTAAAAAAAATACTTACCTAAAATATATAAAGAATCTTACAATTCAATGTAAGGAAGCAATCCAGTAAAATAATGAGTCTTGAACAGCCACTTTACCTAAGAAGATAAGTAGATACAAACAAACATATGAAAAGATGCTCAACATTTTACTAGTCACATGAGGAAATGCAAATTGGAACCATAGTGACATACCTCTACATACCCACCAGAATGGCCTAAATTTAGGGACTGATCATAGTAGTTACAACCATGATGTTGAGCAACTTTATTTATTTATTTATTTTAGGATTTATTTATTTATTTATACAAGCACTGGGTATAGTCAGAAGCGCGGGAGGTGAGAGAATTCACCAGAGCCAGAGCGGGGAGCAGAACAGGCAGAAGGACTGAAGTACACTGCTGAGGGGAGCAGCGGGCAGCAGGAAAGGTCTGTGCGCCATGTGGGACCCTCCCTGGCAGCTGGGGATCAAACCAGCGCTGCAGAGGCTGCAGGCAGCTTTGCAGCCCACCTGTTGAGCAACTTTAACTCTTAACTCTTAATGTGCTGCTGGTTGGAATATAAAATGGTCTGACCTTTTAGAAAACTCTGACAGTTTCTTAAAAGCTAGACATACACCTACCATTTGTTCAAGTCAAATGAGATGAAGGTGCATGTTCACATAGAGTTGTGCGTAAGTGTTCAATGTGGCTTTATCTGTAGAAACTGGAAGGTGCAAACAACCAGTAGCAGATTAATGAATAAACAAATTGTGATATAGCCACACAATGAAATATTACTCAGCAGAACAAAGGAGTTATTAATACAATACATGCAACAACAAGGGTGAATGAAATTCTGTGATTCTAAGCACAGAAAGAGATTAAGATCTTTGATGTATATGTTGCTTATATTCTCAGATTCTGTATCTATAAAATGTGAGCATTGTGCTTAAATGATCTTGAAAGTTTCTTCTTCAGTGTTCTGGGATACTCAATTGCTTGAATACTGGGAAGTGAAGGATGAAGAAGGCTGTTTGTTTGATTGTTCATTTTCTTCTTCTTTTTTTTTTATATTATAATTTTCCCTTCTGGGTAGCCTCTTTCAGCTTCCACTAAGTGTAGTGAAGACTTGCAGCTTGACGATTTTTCTGAAGAAGAACCTCAGTTTTCTAACCTGGAAGTTTCTGAATATTCAGAATTGACTAAATTAGATTCCCAACCACTCAATTTTGCAATTGAAAATGTGGAAAAACCACTGGATTTATCTGAAATGGATTCATTGAAGCCAATAAGACAGAGACTAGTATCGAGGAAAGGCATTCCAAGGAAAATGGCTGCCCCATGTTCATTCCCTTTCCTAAAAATCTCTGGTGATTCTTCTGCTCCCCCTCCTACTACCCCCTTACCTCCTCACAGCAGTCTCTTTGGCTCTGTTGCTAGTCCCCCATCTAACCAAGGCCCCAAGACTAGAGGTTATACTGACCTACCCCTCAAGTCTCATTATCTTTCATCTCCCCAGATCCTACCTTTTGGATCTTGTGCTAGTCCTGCTTTTTCATGTCCACTTCCTCCTGCCCCTGTTTTAGCAAGAGCTGCTGGTCTCCCTCCACCTCTCCCTCCTCTTCCAGGAAGTACTTGTCACCTTGCTCCTCCCCCTCCTTTACCAGGAGCTTTTGGTCAGCCTCCTCCTCCCCTTCCTCTTCCTGGAAGTAGTTGTCAGCTTCCTCCTCCCCCACCTCCCCCTCTCCTTCCAGGAGGTAGTTGTCAGCTTCCTCCTCCTCCACCTCCCCCTCCTCTTCCAGGAGCTTTTGGTCACCCTCCTCCTCCCCCTCCTCTTCCAGGAAGTAGTTGTCAGCTTCCTCCTCCCCCACCTCCCCCTCCTTTACCAGGAGCATCTGGTCTCTCTCCTTCTCCCCCTGCTCTTCCAGGAAGTCTTATTCTCCCTCCCCCGCCTCCCCCTCCTTTACCAGGAGCTCCTTTCCCCATTCCCCCTCCCCCTCCTTTACTAGGAAGTGCTGGTTTATATGCCTCTCCTAGCCCCAAACAGTCTGAGCTACCTGAAATTCTCTCTCCTTCTCCCCCTGCTCTTCCAGGAAGTCTTATTCCCCCTCCCCCTCCTCCCCCTCCTTTACCAGGAGCTCCTTTCCCCATTCCCCCTCCCCCTCCTTTACTAGGAAGTGCTGGTTTATATGCCTCTCCTAGCCCCAAACAGTCTGAGCTACCTGAAATTCATCAAGACAGTCCAACCCTGGGTTTTGCTGGTCCTCCTCCTGCATTGAATTCTCCCCTGAAGCAGAGTTTTTTCTCCACTCCTCCTAGTCCTGCTCCCCCTCCTCCAGTTGAAGGTCTTATCCTTCCTTGTTGTGGTCCCCCTGTCCATCTTTTTGGTGCTGCTCCTCTTCATTTTCAAAACTCCCCAATTCCTTTGAATACTAGTTACAATCTGCCACCAGATCCACTAGTGCTTCACAAAGATCAGTCAGAGGTTTCTCGCCCATCAAATATTTCTGCCACGGCTTCATCACTAGATTTTCCCCAAGATGATCTTCAGAGTGTCACAAATCTTCAAAATTCATCCAAAATGGAAAAAAGGTCTAAACAAGTATGTTACAGAGCCTCTAGATTCTTCAAAAAGATGGCAAAATCTGATACAAGAAGCGACTTCATTATAAGTCATCAGGCACAAAAAGACAAGGATGAAAAACTCCAAAGCCAGAGGAATTTACTGCCTTGGACCAAACTCTTCAGTCTACAAACTGAGGTATTAGTCTTATTTCTAGTATTAGTCTCATAACCTACATTATGGTTACTTAGCTTCATGGTTTAACATTCAAAGTAGGTAGTTGGTTATCAAACTGTTTATTGCCATAGAGATATAAGAAACTTCTGCCAGAATATAAACCTATGCACTGCTTCCTTCACTGAGAACATCTTGCTTAAAAAAAAAAAAGAAGTCAATTGAACAGAATGGTATTCTTGATGGTGACTGGGGTTTATTTTTAACTATTAGCCAGAATATCATGCTGTGAATGTTAGCTATTCTTCAGTTGAGATTTAGTATCTCTGAATGGGTCATGTGGTAAGACCTTAATTTCCTAGGTCCTGGAAATGATGAATTGCAATTCATTTAAATTTCCTACTGTGAAATAAAGAACAAGCACTATAAGTATACTCTAAATATTTTCATGTAAAAAATTTTAATATCAGCTTGTAAGGTTGTGCTAGAGCTTATCATTCCATTTATGAAGCTAATAAACACCCTAAAAATTGAGTTCCTGCACTAAGCCCCAATCTCACATCTGTAGGGTTTTTTTTTTGAAAGATTTATTTATTTATGTATGTAAGAGTTGGGGTACAGGCCAGAGGTGCAGGGGTTGAAAGCATTGACCAGAGACAGAGCAGGGAGCAGAACAGACAGATCTACTGAAATACACTACTAAGGGGAGCAGCAGGCAAGACAGGAGAGGTCTGCTGTGCCATATGGGATATCTCCCTGGCCAGGGGATCAAACTCATGCTGCAGTGGCTACGGACAACTTCATAGTGAAGAGACTTAACCCTTGCACCACCAAGGAGGCCCCACATCTGTAGTTTTTGTTTTGATAGAAAGTACTTTAGTAAAGTGGAAAAGCAACTCCACTTAATAAACTTGAGTTTGTGCACCAGCTCTACCACTTTTCGATTTGGGACAAGTCAGATAACCTTTCTGGGCCTCAGTTTCCTCATCCCTATAATGGAAATAATAATAGTGTCTACCTCACAGAGTGTTTTTGAGTTTTAAACAAGATAATAACAGCACCCCAGCTTTCCTTGCCTGAAAAAAAGGTACTTAACATGCTCTCAAAGCTTGTGATAAAGGTCAGCTTAAATAAGCAGGGACTACTAGCTAGGATAGATAGGGAACATAAGGGCACACTTAAATATTGAACAAAGGGAACCATGCTGTTCAAAAGTTTGAAAAACTTCTGTTCAAAGTATCATTAGGAGGGACCTCCCTGGTGACCCAGGGGTTAAGTCTTAGCACCATCACCTCCGTGGCCTCAGTTCAATCTCCAGCCAGGAACTAACCCATATAAGGTGCAGCAGACCTCTCCGGTCTTGCCCACTGCTCCCCTTAGCAGTGTATTCCAGTAGATCCACCTGTTTTGCTCCCTGCTTTGTCTGTTGAATCCTCTCACCACCACCCAACCCTCCCTGCACCTCTGACCTACACCCCAGTTCTTCTAGGCCAAAATAAAAGCATCATTAGGAAAAAAAGTGTAAATACATTTTTTAAAAAATGTCTACACACAAGCCTCTTTCCAGACCATTTATAAATGCCACTAGATACTTAGTGTCCTTAGTATTCATGAGATTCTCAACAACATTGTCTACTAGTATATGAAGAACTTTGACTTTACAGTAATAGAAATTTTAGAAATGTTTAACACTGAATTGAAATAATTAGGAACTTATATTACTCATCATATAATGATGTAATGAAATTTCAATAATGTGGTTTATATTTGTTTTCTTAATTTCATAGGATGGTTGCTGGAAACTTACACCAGAACTGGGATTTATATTAAAACTTAATACAAATATTTTAAATGACTTTCTGGACCAAAAGGGCATTCAATCTCTAGGTAAGTCACTACTTTTCTATTTATTAAATGGCATGTTTTTAATTGTTATAATTTTTTTTGTAAACCTGTATGCTAATAATTATGTTAGTTACATATGAATAAAATATTTGTTAGCCAAAGAAAAACAGGAATTACTTTCCAATCATGCCTCTCCTATTAATTAGGGTGCTTTCTATACAAACTTATTAACGTAAGTAGCAATAACTGCTAGAAAAAAAAAATCTCAGTAGCTTAACACAATTGAAGCTTACTTTCTTGTACAGAACACAGAAAAATATTGATCAGTAGAGAAGTTCTTTTTTTTTTTTTTTTTAGATTTATTTATTTATGCATGCAAGAGCTGGGGTATAGGCCAGAGATGCGGGAGGGTAAGAGGATTCACCAGAGACAGAGCAAGGAGCAGAATAGGCAGACTGACTGAAATACACTGCTGAGGGGAGCAGCGGGCAAGACAGGAGAGGTCTGTCTCACCATGTGGGTTGCTCCCTGGCTGGCCGGGGATTGAACTCATGCTACAGAGGCTGCAGACTGCTCCATAGTGCGGTGCCTAACCCCTTGCGCCACCAGGGAGGCCCAACAGAAGTTCTATTTCATCTAATCTTTAGAGACCCAGGCTTCTTTCATATTGTGGCACTACTAACGTCAACATATGTTTTTAAAATTATCATAATGAAAAGTAAATAAATAGGGCCTCCCCGGTGGCGCAGCGGTTGAGCGCTGGGCTGTGAAGCTGCCCGCGGCCTCTGCAGTGCCGGTTCGATCCCCGGCTGCTCCCGGCCACCGGAGGAGGGTCCCACATGGCGCGCAGACCTCTCCTGCCACCCGCTGCTCCCCTCAGCAGTGTACTTCGGTCCTTCTGCCTGCTCTGCTCCCCGCTCTGGCTCTGGTGAATTCTCTCACCCTCCCGCGCTTCTGACTGTACCCAGTGCATGTATAAACAAAACAAACAAACAAACAAATAAATAAATAAAGCATGCCTCTATAAAAAAAAAAAAAAAAGTAAATAAATAAATAAAAGTACCATCATGAAAAGAAAAAAGAGAAAAGATTACCCTGGTATCATCTACCTTGTGAATAGGAGGGAAAGAGAAAATATGGGAACTAATGATAGAATCCCATGCAGTCAAAGATCATTGGAAAATGTACTTGGGTTTTTTCCCTCAAGGAGAGAATAATTTTGATAAGCATCCAGTGAGTTTCTGCCAGAGCAAGTTGTTCAATGTCCCCAGACCTGTTTCTTATTATGACAATGAAGGTGTTGAAGGAAGAGGTCCTGGACATCATCAAATTAGTGAGTGGTTTGAAGGGCAAATCCTGGCCCTAGGTTTAGATTACTTTGCTTTAGGCAAAATAAACATTATTAGACAAGTAGCCTTATTTATTTAATAGCAGTATCCAACTCCACTGCCATCAACTCTAAAATACCAGTTTTCATACACCAGGCTAGGTGGGCTACTAGATTCTTGGTCTGTTTGGTTTTCACTTGACTTAAAAGTAATTATGAAGATTTGCATTAGGAGAGGGTTCTTATTCCTGGAATAATATAAAAGATTGTATCTGACTAATTCTACCATCAGCATCAGTTATTGAACAAAAATTTTAAAACTACTCTCTGAAGGCCTAGGAAGCAATTAAATACAGCCAGAAACTGTCCTTGAAAGAAGGGAAGCAAATAGGTGACCTCCATATTTATCTAGATTCTCTGAATTCATGAGACAATGGGAGGTTAGAATTGAAATAGTGAGTCTTAATGGGATGATGACATAGGGCCAGAGTTTGAGGATGCCAGAATTACAGGAAATTACAGGTGAGAATCATAGAAAGAAGGTAGCCACACAGTAGGCAACTCTGAAATCTGCATACAAATTCTCTCAGATCCATGGCTCTCCCCATGTATAGACACACACAGTGTGACTTGAAAGAATTAAAAAAAAAAAAAAAAAAGCAAAAGCTGGTAAGTTGAATTGCTGAAAGATATCGCTGCCTAATGTTGGAAGACAGAGTGTGATGTTTCAATCGAAATCATTGAGAGCTGGTAAATGTCTCAGGCTTTCCACTAAGACCCAAAAAAGGGTCATAAGGACCATATCATATAGACCACATTTCATGATCAAAGTCTATATCATTTGACAAAGAGAAAACCAAGGTAAACTCACCTTGACAAAACCTTCAGAGGATCCACCAGAATAAAACTCATCATTCTTTGGTATAAGATGACAAAATCCAGTCACTATAAGGCATCATTTTTAATATATAGTGTAGAATGAAAACATAATAACATATGAAGAAAAAGGAAAATATGAATTATAATCAAGGGAAAAAGATGATCAATAGATACTCATCTACAGATGGCCCAGATATTGTTATTAGCAGACAAGGACTTTTTTTTTCTTTTTCTTTAAAGATTTATTTATTTATTTATACAAGCACTGGGTACAGCCAGAAGCGTGGGAGAGTGAGAGAAATCACCAGAGCCAGAGCAGGGAGCAGAACAGGCAGACTGACAAAGTACACTGCTGAGGGGAGCAGCGGGCGCGGCAGGAGAGGTCTATGCGCCATGTGGGACCCTCGCTGGCAGCCGGGGATCGAACCGGCACTACAGAGGCTGCGGGCAGCTTCGCAGCCCAGCGCTCAACAGCTGCGCCACCAGGGGAGGCCCCAGACAAGGACTTTAAAACTGCTTTTATAAAATTATTGAATGATTTGCCACAAGAGAAGAAAGGAATGAATGAACAAATGGGAGAATTTCAGTAAGTAGACAGAGACTATAAAAACGAAATGAAGTCTATAAAATGCAGTGTCTAAAATGAAAAGATCATTGGATGAGCTTAACAACAGGATGGACAAAACAGAAAAAAAGGTCATTTAACTCAAATTATAGTAATATAAAGTGTTGAATAAAAATTACCCAAACAAAAGCACAGAAAAAAAATACAGCAGAATGAAGAAAGACCTGTGGAACACCACCAAAAGATTTGAACTTGTGTAGTTGAGATCCCAGAGTTGATGTTGTATATATCCAAGAAACTCAGTTGAACACCAGGTCAAACTCCTGACGACCACAGATGGGTCTTAAAAGCAGCCAGAGAAAAAGGACACATTAAATTCAGGAGAACATCTGTAAGAATTTTAAAGTACTTCATATGAGAAGTAATGGAGTCAACGTTAATGGAATATCTCTAAAATACTGAAATGGAAAAGAAAAACCTCTAAACTAAGACTTATATAGCCAGAAAAAAAGTCTTTTAAAAATTAAGGAAATTAGCAGAACCAGACACATAAAAAGTAAATAGTTGGTTAAAAGATGCAAAATTAAAATACAAAAATTGTTCACGCAGGTCCTTGCTTCCAGGATGACCAAGAAAAAAAGGAATAATGGTCATCTAAAAAGGGCCACAGTCAGGTGCACCGTTAGGGGAATGCATGCCCAAGGGCCAAGCAATTAAGAAATCATCATTCAAAACCAAATACAGGGCCTCCCCTGGTGGTGCAGGCGGTTGAACGCAGTGCTTTGAAGCTGTCCGCAGCCTGTGCAGCGTCGGTTTGATCCTGGGCGGCCGGCGAGGGCCACACATGGCACTGCAGACCTTTCCTGTTCTTGCCTGCTGCTCCCCTTAGCAGTGTATTTCTTCAGTCTGCCTGTTCTGTTCCCCGTTCTATCTCTGGTGAATCCTCTCACCCTCCTGCATATCTGGCCGGAACCACGGTTCTTGTATAAATAAAATCTTAAAAAAAAAAAAAATACAGTTTACAACCATGGGGGACATGTCCCATACAAGCATCTTTTACGCCCACACGCTTTCCAAGTTCTATGTGAAACCACGTTGTTGGGTGAGTTCTGCCAGTTACATCAGGTGGTGAGGAATTGCTCACCCATGACCTCCTCCAAAGCCCATGTAAAGGAGCTCAATCCTTAAGGACTGAAAAAAAACTTCTCTGGAGAGAGTAAAATGGAAATTATACTTTATATAGCATGTCTGAGTGTAGCTGTGGTTAGATAGAGTGGGGGTTGTCATAGAGACTGTAATTACTTTATAAGGAGTACTTAAGTGTGGAGCACAGTCTTTTCAAGAAGGAGTAAACTTATCTATGTAAAATAAACCTTGAATTTCTTTTATATTTGTATCCCAGATTTGAACAGCTGTGTGGAACAAAAGGGGTTAAGGCATCTGTGAGTGTTAGGTTAATTCAACCTTACCAGTGACAGGTTGGTATCTTAAAAATAGGGGAGAGGAATTAGGAGGGTAAGGGAAAATTAAGCATCCTTAAGTGAGGAGCATATCAGAGAATGATTTATATTGAATGTGCATACTACAATTGGGGGACTAAACTAATAATTAAAAAAAAAAAAAACATGATTTTTAAAGGGATGTATATCCAGATCTTTAACTTCATAAAATTCTACCTATCTCTAAAATGGTCTGTTGGTAAGCCAGTTCTCACCTAACCTGCGTCTTTCTATGATGTATTTCCACATCAGCAAAAATATCATAGAGTACCATAAGTGGAAAGAATTTCCACATAAATTATGGGAAAGACTATACCTTACTGTCTATGTGACAATGAATGTTTTGTTTATCCTATAATAAAGAAATTAGAGGGGCCTCCCTGCTGGCGCAAGGGCTATGAAGTCACAGTCGCAGCATTGTGAAGCTATTGGTAGCCACTGCTGCAAGAGTTCGATCCCTATGCTACCCTCAGCAGAGTATTTCAGTCAATCCACCTGGTGTACTCCCCCCTCTGTCTCTGGTGAATCTTCTCACCCGCCATGCCTCGGGCCTGTACCCCAGTTCTTGTATGCATAAATAAATATTTTTTAAAAAATAAAGAAATTAGAAAGTTAGCAGGGATATTTATTTACAACATCCATTTGAGAATATATTTTGATAAGAATTGACTTCCTTAGGTTATGTGATATTTCCCCCTAAAAATTGAACCAAACAAGTAGAGATTGTCATTACAATACATGTTGTGTTGGGGGAAAAAATAATAAAATGCAAAAATAATTTCAATTTCGTATACTACCTACAAATAAGAGAATATAGTTTTTTCTTTTTTAATTAAATTTATTTATTTTCTTCCATCTTTGAACGGTATTTGAATTCTCCCCTAAGGTGTCGTCCTTATAGTTCTCCCACCACCATAACACCCATTATCCATCACCACAGACCCTTGTGCTCTCCCCTCCCCTGTTTTAATCCCTCTCCCTCCCTCCTCATTTGGGTGCTTCAGCTCTGTGATCAGATTGAGGTTTTATCTTTATCTTGACCCTTTGTTCAGTTTGTCTTTATTCCACATATAAGTGAAACCATCCAATATTTATCTTACAAAATGCATAAATTTTAAATTTTAACATACTGTTTATAGTTGTATTAAAAATATCAAGGGCCTCCCCTGGTGGCACAGTGGTTGAGCACCGGGCTGCAAAGCTACCCGCAGCCTCTGCAGTGCAGGTTTGGGCCCCGGCCACCAGCAAGGGTCCCACATGGCACAACAGACCTCTCCTGCCGTGCCCGCTGCTCCCCTCAGCAGTGTACTTCATCTGTATGTTTGTTCTGTTCCCCGCTCTGGCTCTGGCTTTAGATGTAGATTCTAAAATGAAAACCATGAACAATCATTGAAAGAACTTTTGGAAGATCTAAATAAAAGGTAACATTTTCCAATGTATTGGGATTTGAAAATTACGTAATATTAGATGTCACTTCTCCCCAAAATGATCACGAATTTGATAACCTAGATAAAGGGACAGATTCCTTAAAAGACATGATGAAATAGGGCCTCCCCAGTGGCGCAGCGGTTGAGCGCTGGGTTGCGAAGCTGCCTGCAGCCTCTGCAGCGCCGGTTCTATTCCCGGCTGCTCCCCGGCCTCTGGAGGAGGGTCCCACATGGCGCGCAGACCTCTCCTGCCGCCCACTGCTCCCCTCAGCAGTGTACTTCGGTCCTTCTGCCTGCTCTGCTCCCTGCGCTGGCTCTCATGAATTCTCTCACCCTCCCGCGCTTCTGACTGTACCCAGTGCTTGTATAAATAAATAAATAAATCTTAAAAAAAAAAAAAAAAAAGACATGATGAAATAGATAACATGATTAGGCCTATATTTATTAAAGAGTTGAATCAGTAATAACCTTCCAAAACAGAAAGCACTAGGCCAAGATGACTTCACTGGTGAATTTTATCAAACATTTAAGGAAGCTATTATACCAATTCTCTATAGTATCTTTCAGAGGATAGAAGCAGAGGGAATACCTCCTAATTCATTTTGTGAGACCAGCATTACCCAAATACCAAGACCAAGGAAAGGCATTATAGAAGAGAAACTATGGACTAATATCTCTCAGAAATATAGATGCAAAAATCTTCAACCAGGGCCTCCCCGGTGGCGCAGCGGTTGAGCGCTGGGTTGCGAAGCTGCCCGCGGCCTCTGCGGCGCCAGTTCGATCCCCGGCTGCTCCCCGGCCACCGGAGGAGGGTCCCACATGGCGCGCAGACCTCTCCTGCCGCCCGCTGCTCCCCTCAGCAGTGTCCTTCGGTCCTTCTGCCTGCTCTGTTCCCCGCTCTGGCTCTGGTGAATTCTCTCACCCTCCCGCGCTTCTGACTGTACCCAGTGCATGTATAAACAAAAACAAAGAAAGAAAGAAAGAAAGAAAACATGCCTCTATATAAAAAAAAAAAAAAAAAAAATCTTCAACCAAATATTAGCAAGCCAAATTTCAATACATCAAAAAGATAATATACCATTAGCAAGTGAAATATATTGCAAGGATACAAGGATGGTCCAGCATCCACAAATTGGTTAGTGTGATATCTACCACATTAACAATGAAATCATGTGATCATCTGAGAATAAGCATTTGATAAAGTCCAACATCCATTTATGATAAAAACTCAACAAAGTGGGTATAGTGAAAAGATACCTCACATAATAAAGAATATGTATGATAGGCCCATAAGCTTTAAATCACACTCATTGGTGAAAAACTGAATACTTTTTCTCTGCAATCAGGTGCAAGACAAGGATGCCTTCTCACTACTTTTCTTCAACATAGTATTAGAAGTCTTAGAGCAATTAGGCAAGAAAAAGAAAGAAAAGGCATACAAATTGGGAAGGGAGAAGTGAAATTGGTCACTATTTGTGGATGACATAATATGTATAGAAAACCCTAACAACTCCACAAAAAAAACCTGTTAGAACTATGAATTCAATTAAGTTGCAGGATACAAACTCAACATACAAAATACAGCTGCATTTCTGTACATTAATGAACTATCAGAAAAATTAAAACAGTTCCATTTACAACTGTATCATAAAGAATAAAACACTTTGGGGCCTCCCCTGGTGGCGCAGTGGTTGAGCGCTGGGCTGCGAGGTTGCCTGCAGCCTCTGCAGCGCTGGTTCGCTCCCGGCCGGCGAGGGTCCCACATACACACACAAAAAAAAAGCTAAAAAAAAAAGAATAAAACACTTTGGAGAAAATTTGACCAAGGATGTGAAAGACACACGGAAAACTCAGACATTGATAAAAGAAATTGAAGAAGACACAAAAAAATGGAAAGATATTCTGTGTTCATCGATTTTAAGAATTTAGAATGTTAGTGTCCAAAATACCCAAAGCAGTCTGCGGATTCTAAGTAATTACCATCTAAGTAATTACCAAAAATTCCAATGACATTTTTCTTAGAATAAGCACAACCCCAAAAGAACTACAAAACCCCAATGGAACTACAAAAGAGAGAAAATATAAACAGGGCCAGGTTTTTCAAAAGATTGATAAAAATGACAAATACTGTTTATTAGGCTGTAACCCCATCATAAGTAAAGAAAGATCTGTACTAGACTTAAGTGCATTGACAAGGGTAGCATATTTAACCCTATTTATAACTGAAAGATCAAGGAACAAGGAAATAAGGTTAGAGCCCAGGGTTGGCTTGGTGTTTGGAGATTGGAAGACTGGATACAATAGCATTTCTGGTCAAACAGAGCATTTACAAGATCAGGAAAGTTATTTAGTTTCAGTTGCTGACATGACACCCAGGTTGAAGCATCTTAAGCCTGGATATTTATTTCAAGGGTACTGATCACAAGTAATTTGAAACTCTGGTGTCAACAACCATATCAGTTGCTTGCAAGTTGTTAATTTGTATATTTAGGCTTATTCTTCTGAGCAATTTGTAGCTGGAGCCTAGAAACTGAATTCCTTTCAGCATTCTTTGTGCATATCTGATGGCAATGATTTAGATATAAATCATTTTCCTAAAAACCATCAGGATAATTGGATAGGCTCATGGGCCAGTCATTTTATTTAAACAGCAGGCTACTTATGAGCCTTGAAAATGGTTACAGTTTTACATGTTAATGTATTGTGGTTTAATTGTATTATAATTTTTTAACAGACCTTATATGAATGGGCACAGTTTGAGATGATGGAGAGTTTCCACTAGACCTAACAGAGTTTCTCACTTCTAGGTAAAAAAGGAAGAGAATGTCTTTTGGACCTGATCGCCACCTTTCTGGTCCTACAATTTCTTCGCACCCAGTTGGAACAAGAAGGAATAGTAATAAAATCACTGATGAGATTGGATGAAACTTCCATTTCCAGGTAACTTTAACTACAAAATTAGGCAACTCACTTATATGGTCAACCACTTTTTTTTTTTTTTTTTTAAAGATTTATTTATTTATTTATTTATTTATTTATTTATTTATTTATACAAGCACTGGGTACAGTCAGAAGCGCGAGAGGTTGAGAGAATTCACCAGAGCCAGGGCGGGGAACAGAACAGGCAGACTGACAAAACAGGCAGACTGCTGAGGGGAGCAGCAGGCCAGACAGGAGAGGTCTGTCGAGCCATGCAGAACCGGCACTGCAGAAGCTGCAGGCAGCTTCGCAGCCCAGCGCTCAAGTGCTGCGCCACCAGGGGAGGCCCGTCAACCGCTTCTTAACTAAACCTTTCACGAAGCTACAAAGAGGGCCTCCCAGGTGGTTCAGCAGGTTGAGCACAGCGCTGTGAAGCTGTCCACAGCCTCTGCAGCACAGGTTTGATCCCCAGCTGGCCAGGGAGATAGCCACATGGCGCGGCAGACCTCTCCGGTCTCACCTGCTGCCCCCCTCAGTAGTGCTTTCGGTCATCTGCCTGTTCTGTTCCCCACTCTGTCTCTGGTGAATTCTCTCACCCTCCTGCGCCTCTGGCCTGTACCCCAGCTCTTGTATAAATAAATAAATCTTTAAAAAAAAAAAAAAGAAGCTACAAAGAAAATTTGTTTACACTCCTCTGCATAGGCAGGGCAGACAAAATATTCTTACCTCTTGGGTTGCACAGGATACTGTGGCTCAGATAGCTAGTTATAGTTTGCAATGAAGTCCATATCTTTGTCTCCTGGTTGAGTATTCTTTTCACTATAGTGTATTAATTCTACTTGCCCTTGAAAAATTCATAATATGTTGGTCTAACTGGCTTATTCCCAACAATCATAGGACTTGGCATTAGAGCAAATGGAAACTCATATGCTATATGTCTTAAGTATTTAAAATTTTATTTTATTTTTTTTAAAGATTTATTTTATTTTTATACAAGAACAGGGTTACAGGCCAGATGTGCGAGAGGGTGAGAGGATTCACCGGAGACAGAGCGGGGAACAGAACAGGCAGACTGCAGAAATACACTGCTGAGGGGAGCAGCGGGCGAGACAGGAGAGGTCTGCTCACCATGTGGGATTCTCGCCAGCTGGCCGGGATAAAACCTGCGCTGCAGAGGCTACAGACAGCTTCACAGTGCGGCGCTCAACTGCCTTCCCCACCAGGGAGGACCAGAATTTAAAATTTTAAATCAAACTAGCAAACTATTAGATATGTTCTCAAGTTTTGCCTTGACAAATACAACCAGATAACCACCTAGAGAACCAGGTCCAAATTTAGAATTCCAGGCCCACTTGAAGTTTCATGCCACATTTTGCTAGTATGGAAAAAGCCAAACACATTGATTCTCAGCTGGGGCTACTATGTGTTATTTGCATGTTCTCCTGATGTCTGCTTAGACTTTCTCCAAGGACTGGTTGCCTCCCATATCCCAAAGATATGCACATTAGGTTCATTGGTTTGTCTTAGTTGTGGGTGTACATGTGAGTGTGCCTCACGCATTCTATCTGGAGCAACCTTCTTCTGGCTCCCTGAGCTGTTGGGCAGGCTTCAGCTACCCATTACCCTAATGGTGTAAGTGGATCGGAGAATGAATGAATGAATGAAAGTGATTGTTGAGTATTATAAGGGTTTGGAATCATTATTTAGAAGTTTGTTGATGTTTCTGGAATTAGAAATATGCTGTAGGAACTTAACTCTTGTTATTATCAATTAGTCTGTCACCAAATTGGTTTTGTTGTCATTTTGCTCAAAGTCCAAAGCGCAGTTTCTAGTAACCTATCAACAATGTTAAGTGATGACTTACTATATATACGCATACAAATATATGTATGTAATTTGGTTATTTTTTAAAAGCATAAGAAGAAATAAAATTATTATCTACAGGAGGAGGAAATAAGGATGGAAGCTAGGTTTTTCCTATGTTCCTTGTTTTGTGATTTTAACTTGGAGTTATGTAAATATTTTACATAATAAAAACCAAATATCAGAGACTAGAGATTAACCATGTTAAATTATGCCTTGGGAATGCAAAGAGTAATATCTGAAATGTGAGCAAGGGAAAAAAGAAGGGAGAAGTAGAACCTATAAATTAGAGGACATACCAACCAAAGGCAATGTGTAGATACTGTTTGGATTCTGCTCTGAACAAAACAGGATGTATTTTAAAAAGAGAGAGAATTGGGCCTCTCCGGTGGCGCAGCGGTTGAGCGTTGGGTTGCGAAGCTGCCCGCAGCCTCTACGGCGCCGGTTCAATCCCCGGCTGCTCCCAGGCCACCAGAGGAGGGTCCCACATGGCGCGCAGACCTCTCCTGCCGCCCGCTGCTCCCCTCAGCAGTGTACTTCGGTCCTTCTGCCTGCGCTGCTCCCCGCTCTGGCTCTGGTGAATTCTCTCACCCTCCTGCACTTCTGACTGTATCCAGTGCATGTATAAACAAACAAACAAACAAATAAATAAAAATACATGCCTCTTTAAAAAAATAAAATAAAATAAAAAGAGAATTAGGGAAGCTTAAATACTACCTGAATATTTTGTGATATTAAAGAATCATTTATAAGTATTTTTAAGTGTCTTATTGAAGAAAAAGTTCTTATCCCTTAGAGATACATATTACAAAGATACATATTTACAGTTGAAATTAAAATAAATTAGTAGACCTGTTTTTACCCTTTCACAAAGACTGATTAAATCCTGTATTCCCAACAGCATCAAACCTAAAATAGAAACTCAGAAATTCATTAATTGAGCATTTCACTTTATGCAATCTCTTTCTCCATTTTGGAAAAAGCAACATATCATCAGTTTGCAAAAAAAATTACTTGAGAAAGTTGGAAATTTAAACAAATATCAAGAAATAGACTTCGAACAACTAGCTTGATGGTGACTCTCAGGTCCTCTGCAAGTGATTCATCCTCTTGTGGGACCCTAATTTGTAAAACAGTACTCGAGTTTGTACTTGAAATGGACAGGATTTAGATCAAGAAGAAAGGAAAGGAGATGACAGTAAACATTTGAAGAGGCTAGAAAAAGCTTGAGATGTCCTAGAGACAGCAAAGAAGCCTGTGAGGTTTAGTGAAAGCTAGAAAGTAATGCGTGTAATATACTTGAAAATGTGTTGAGTAAGTGAAAGCATCATGTCAGACTGGTAGAAGAACTTTAATAAAATATCAGAGGAATGGTTTATTAAAATATCTTAATTTTTGATGGAATTAGTTTGATATAATATGTTTGATTTGATATATTTATATTTTGAAGTTGATGGAAAGCTATTTTTTTAATCTAGGAATATTCCCTGGAATTTTGAGAAAATAAAGAAAGCAAGTGAATGGGTAAGAAGAACTGAAGGACAGTATACGTCTATCTGCCAACGGCTTGAATTGGGTAATGATTGGGATACGGCCACTAAGCAGCTATTGGGAATCCAACCCATAAACACCACTTCTCCTCTTCACAGAGTTATTAATTAAAGTCAAGGCTGAATCAAATTATTTTTTTCTTAAAATTTTTTCATGCTTCTATGTACAAAATAATCAACTATTAAAAGCTACCTATAATGAGATTTAATTATGATTTTATTCAACGTAGCAATCACTTTAAAACTAAATGGAAGCAGAATTGTTCTAATGACCTAAGAAGCAATAAAATAAAATTGATGATAACAGATTTTTTGTGTTTAAATATTTTAAGGCAATGAGAGACACACCTTGATGGTCCTGGAGACTCATTCCTTCTCCTATCTCGTAGAGAATTGGGATAATAGTATTAAACAAGCTGAAACAAACAAGGCCTTTGGACAGTGTGAGCGTTCCCAGCCTGTAATCTTTTTCCTGGGCCCTGGATAGCTAGATTTTGGCCTCAATATGCATACTTCTTAGTGTGATTACTAGTTTGCAATCCTTTAATATACTTCTTATTACTTAGAGAAACTAGGTGTCCCTAGCAATTCTTTCATTGATCTTGGTTTTTTTTTTTTTTAAGATTTATTTATTTATTTATTTATACAAGATTGATTGATTCATTGATTGATTTATACAAGCACTGGGTACAGTCAGAAGCGCGGGAGGGTAAGAGAATTCACCAGAGCCAGAGCAGGGAGCAGAGCAGGCAGAAGGACTGAAATACACTGCTGAGGGGAGCAGCGGACGGCAGGAGAGGTCTGCACGCCATGTGGGACCCTCCTCCAGTGGCCAGGGAGTAGCCGGTCATTGATCTTGTTTTTGCTGTTACATCTAAAATTTCATCTTCAAACCCAAAGTCATAATATAGGTTTTCTTCTATATTATCTCCTAGAATTTTTATAGTTTTGCCTTTTACTTTCAGGTGTGTGATCCATTTTGAGTTATTTTTTATAAAAGATGTAAGGTCACTATCCACTTTTGTCCACATTGCCACTTGCATGCCATTACATTTCCACCTTTCTGTGAAGCCCCAGTTTCTTTGAGATCCATTTTGGCTATATACTGCCTGTACTCATTGCTGCCATTCATCAAGTGCCCATTGCCTCCCCCCATTCACATGGTTCAAGATTTTACTTTCTACTACTCATATTGCCTTAATTTTAAGTAACTTGCAATATTCTATGACCATCCTCATTCCTTGAGCTTGAACCACAGTGTTGGTAGAAGGCCTTGTGCTCTTATGGTACTCTAGAGAATGGGAAGCTTGTGATAAGCTGCTACCCGGTCTTCTTCCACCTGTATCCTTGCATCCTTTAGGAGGCTATCATGAGACCATTTCACATCACCTCCCAGTTCTGATGAGGTATAAGGCTTAGAAACAGCTGCAGACTATAAATCTTCCTGTTGCATCTATAATTGACTCCTCAAAAATGATGCTGTCCACAACTCACACTGCACTTATATAGTTTCTTTTGGTGTACTGGACAAGGACTATGGGTAGCTAGTGTCTTTGACTACTCTTCCTTTTTTTTTTTTTTAAAGATTTATTTAGGGCCTCCCCAGTGGCGCAGCGGGTTGAGCACTGCACTATGAAACTGTCTGCTGCCTCTGCAGTGCCGGTTCGATTCCCAGCCAGCCAGGGAGATTCCCACGTTGCGAGGCAGACTTCTCCTGTTTAGCCTGATGCTCCCCTCAGCAGTCTACTTCTGCCTGTTCTGCTCCCTGCTCTGTCTCTGGTGAATTCTCTCACCCTCCTGCGACTCTGAACTGTACCCCAGTGCTTGCATAAATAAATGAATCTTTGGGGGAAAAAAGATTATTTATGCATACAAGAACTGGAGTACAGGTCAGATGTGTGGAGGGTGAGAGGATTCACCAGGGACAGAGTGGGGAGCAGAACAGGCAGATTGACTGAAATACACTGCTGAGGGGAGCAGCAGGCAAGACAGAAGAGGTCTGCTAAGCCATATTGGTTGCTTCCTGGCCTGCCAGGGGATCGAACTCATGCTGCAGAGTCTGCAGATTGCTTCATAGTGTGGTGCTTAACCCCTTGTGCCACAAGGGAGGCTCGACTTCTCTTCCTTTTGCTGTTTATTTATCAAACCATCTAAATCTAAAATATTTTTTGCATCTTTATTGGCCAAATCAGTCAATTCTGGGACTCTGTCTTGCTAATTTGTCTTTTCTTAGTTTATTAGGTTGATTCAAAAGACTGATAATAAGCCATAAGAAAGAGATTCTTTCTTAGAAACATCCACTGGTTTAAAAAAAAAAAATCACCCACAGAAAAACTAATCAAACTAATCAACCAGTTTAGTAAAGTAGCAGTATACAAAATCAACACACAAAATCAGCTTTCCTACATACAAACAATAAATCAAGAAGAAGAAATCAAGAAAACCATCCCTTTTATTATTGAAACAAAAAAATCAAATACTTGGTTATAAACCTAACAAAAGAGGTAAAGGACCTATACAAATATAAAACAATGTTAAAAGAAATAAAAGAAGACACAAAGAAATGGAAAGACATCCCTTGCTTATGGATTGGAAGAATTAACATTGTCAAAATGGCCATCCTACCAAAAGCAATTTACAGATTCAATGCTATTCCAATAAAAATTTCAATGATATTCTTCAAAGAAATAGAACAAATATTGATGAAATTCATATGGAGCCACCAAAAATCCTGAATAGCCAATGCTCTCCTGGGGGAAAAAAAAAAAAAAGGAAGGGAATGGGAGTATCACACTTCTAGATTTCAAACTATACTACAAAGCCATAATAATCAAAACTGCATGGCACTGGAACAAGAACAGACACACCAATGGAACCGAATAGAAAACCCAGAAATAAACCCACAGATTTACAGTCAACTAATCTTTGACAAAGGAGGAAAGAATATGCAATGGAGCAGAGAAAATTTGTTCAATAAATGGTGCTGGGAAACCTGGGCTGCTACATGCCAAAGACTGAAGCTTGACTACTTCCTCACACCATGCACAAAAACCAATCAAAATTATTAAAGAACTAAACATAGTTCTTTAAAACCATAAAATATATAGAAGAAAATATTGGTAAAACACTGCAAGACATTCATCACAATAACATCTTTAAAGGGGCCTCCCCTGGTGGTGCAGGTGGTTGATCGCCACACTTTGAAGCTGTCAGCAGCCTCTGCAGCATGGGTTCAATCCCGGCCAGCGGGCGAGGGTCCCACATGGAGTGGTAGACCTCTCCTGTCACACCCGCTGCTCCCCTCAGCAGTGTATTTCGCCAGTCTGCCTGTTCTGTTCCCCGCTCTGTCTCTGGTAAATCCTCTCACCCTCCATGCATCTGGCCTGTACCCCAGTTCTTGTATAAAATAACTCTTTAAAAATAATCTTTAAAGACTCATCACCCAAAGCAAAGAAAGTCAAGGAAAACATAAACAGCAGGATTAAACATCAAACTGAAAAGCTGCCGCAAAGCACAAGAGACATTAACCAAAACAGAGAGATACCCCGCTGACTGGGAAAAAATCTTTGCACTCCAGTCAACTGATAAGGGACTGATCACAAAGATATACAAAGAACTCACAGGAGGACTCAACAAAAACAAAATAAACAATCCAGTTAAGTAATGGGCAGAAGAACTTAGAAGACCTTTCTTCAAAGAGGAAATGCAAATAGCCAACAGGCATATGAAAATATGTTCAACATCCCTGATAATCAGGGAAATGCAAGTTAAAACCACATTGAGATACCACCTTACACCAGTAAGAATGGCACATATCAAAAAAAACAAGCAACAACAAATGTTGGCGAGGATATGGTGAAAAAGGAACTCTCCTACATTGCTGGTGGGAGTGCAAACGGGTCCAACCATTATGGAAAGTTGACTGGAGGTTCCTCACCCTACTAAAAATGGAGCTACCGTACGGCCCAGCAATTCCACTGCTAGGGATCTACCCCAGGGACACAAAATGTTCATTCAAAAGAACACCTGTACCCCTATGTTTATTGCAGCACTATCTACAATAGGTAAAACCTGGAAACAACCCAATGCCCAAAAATAGATGACTGGATCAAGAGGATGTGGCATATATACACAATGGAATATTATTCAGCAATCAAAAAAGATAAACTCATACCATTCACAGCAACGTGGATGGAGCAAGAAGGAATTATGCTCAGTGAAATAAGCCAGAAGGAAAAAGAAAAATATCAGATGGTTTCACTTATAACAGGAATATAGGGGAACCCAATAAGACATCATTGTAAAAAAATAATAGTACAAAACACAAAAAGCAAAATCAGACAATTATAAATCAGAGACATCCTGCAGGGGAGGAGGAAGGAGAGGGATCAGAGGGAGGGAGGGAGGAGCACTGGGGACTAAGGTGATGGTGCACGGGTGCACTGATGAAGGAAATTCTATGGGGACTACACCTGAAGGGGTGGGAGGAAGCAAATATTGTTTAAAAATGAACAACGATGTAAATTTTTTTTTAATTTTAAAAAAAGATGAAAAAAAAAAAGTCAAGCCCAAAAGAGAAACAAAAAAATTTAAAGATTATGTTTTGATTGTCAACATTGTAATACTGAACTAAGCTGGTGCCTTCATAGAGATTGAATGTTGTTGTTTCTGCTGTTTATTTATTTTTTTTTTTTCAATGACGACTTTTATTATTGCATCTTAAAGATGTATCACAAATAGGTCTAAGAAATCATCCATTATCTTGCTGCTCTGTAGCTGGACAACTTAAATCTTACTCATCAGCTTGCTGAACTGTTCCCTTTTCAGAAACATAGATACCATCCAAAAATTTCCTGATATCCTTGTTTTTAACTGTCGTGGCTTGCTGAATCAAAGCAGCTGAATTTGATACAAGTTCAATGTCGTTTCCTTCAAGAATCAACTCATCTTTCTGGGCTTGAGATACTGAACAAGCAACACCTTGTCTCATCCGAACCCTGCGAATGTATTTTTCACCCAAGAAATTTCGGATTTCAACAAGAGACCCATTCTCCTGAATAACAACGTTGATAGGGAAGTGAGCATACACAGACCTCATCTTGTAACGGAAGCCCAGTGTAACACCCTTGATCATGTTCTGTACATGACTACAGATAGTGCGAACAGTAGCCAGTTCCTTTCTATTTCCCCACCATTTGTCAACCCGGAGCCTCTTCTTTTTCTTCCCAAGCAAACTGAGTTCGACATTGATGTGATTGAAGTCCCTCCGCAGGGTGCCTCTGGGGCCCTTCACAATAACAGT